CCCCCCACCCGCCCAGATCAGACACTGCAGAGGGAAGCAGATGCTGTATCCAATTTCCCCCACACACACACACACATATTTTTTCCACCACACCTCAGGTCACAAAGTCTGCTCACAACTTAATGTGACGTTCAGCTTTTAAAATCAATTCTTGATCACACCAAGGCAAAGCTCGGCACCAGCTGCTGCCCTAGGGATCATTTTTCGTGGTGGCAGGGAGTTCCTGCACCGATGCTGGGAAGAAAAGCGTGCCGGAAATCTCCCGTTTCTTGCCCCTCAGGGCCCCTCTACCCACGGAATGAAGCTCTTGTCCTCATTTTCAGACATCCCGATGCCGCAGCCTGGTGGAGAGGAGAGAACAGCTTCTCCAGCCCAGCCACGGAGTCAGGGTTTGGATGCCGGGATTTGGAGGCCAGGATGTCCCCGGAGGAAGGGGGACGCCCAGGGTGACGCTCGGGAAGTGGCCATGGGGAGCGTGGCGTTGCCTCGACCGCGGCACTACAGAGCCCCCAGACCTGCCGGGAGCGGCCAGGCAGGGCCGGGCTCGCCAGGGCTTCAGGCAGCGCTTTGCCTCGGTGGAGGGGGGTTGTGGGGTGACGCCGGGAGAGCAGGAGAGCCCAGGCCAGACCCAGGGGCACCTCTGCAACTTCTTCTTGCAGAGCCTTTATCGTTGTCACATCCATGGGGCTCCCCGGGCACGTGGACCAGCCTCGTGTCCTTCACACCCCCTCCGGCCAGCCCACCTCAGAATCAGAACCCCAGCACCATTCTGGTTGGAAAAGCCCCTCGGGATCACGGAGTCCAACCCTCAGCCCGACTCTGCAAAGTTCTCCCTGACCCCACATCCCCCACAGCTCATCCCAACGGCCCTGAAACCCCCCAGGGATGGGGACTCCCCCCTCCCTGGGCAGCCTGTTCCACTCTCGGACCACTCTTGCTGGGAAGCATTTTCTCCTCCTGCCCAGCCTGACCCTCCCCTGGGGCAGTTTCCAGCCGTTCCCTCTTGTCCTGTCCCTGATCCCCTGGGAGCAGAGCCCAGCCCCAGCCTCTCTGCAATGTCCTGTCAGGAGCTGCAGAGAGGGATGAGGGCTCCCCTCAGCCTCCTCCTCCTCACCCTGAACACTCCCAGCTCCTTCAATCTCTCCTCACAGACCCACTTGGACTTCCCTCATTTTTCCCAGACACCTTTCCCAGAAGATGCAAACACAGAGCTGACCCGTCCTGCCACGAAGGGCCCCAGCTCCATTCCCCGCCCTCGTGAGGAGCCGTGGGAACAGGAGCGAGCGACACGTCAGCCAGCAGCAGCCACGGAAGGGCCAGCGGGATGAGAAGGGCTCCCGTTTCTGTGGGATTTGGACCCAGAACACGGCAGCCCCGCCGTCAGCCGCAGCAGCCTCCAGAAAGCCACGCTCCCACGCTGCCCACAGCTGTGCCCTCAGGCTGCTGCTGCCCAGCCGGCCCGCAGGAGGGTCTACAGACACCCAGAGGTCCTGCCTGATTTTCTGGTTTCAGACACCAAGATGCAGTACCGCAGAAAACGCACCTTTTGTGGCAGCGTTAAGTACGTGTTCAAGGTGGAAAACACCCAAAATACCACCCGGCAGAGGTTCTGCTCTTGGGAAACAGCAGCTCTTCCTTAGACAAACTGTGACAACGTGGGGATGAGGCAAAAAAGGGCCAAGAGGGCCACAGGCACTCACCACCGCAGGGTCTGCGGGGCTGGGCTGGATCTCGAGGGGCAGGAGACAGCCCCTGGGGGGGGCCAGGCTGCCCCCGATGGCTCCGTGGGGTTCACCCACCACAATCCAGGAGTAACTCCCGGTGACCGCGCTGGGCTCTCGCTGCTGGGACTGCAAACCCTTGTGCAAGCCCTTCCCGCACCACCTGCAGCCAACAAGCCCGGCGGCTGGACCAGGACGAGCAGTGACGCTGCTGAACGCTGGCGAGCAGGTGCCCTGGAGCTCAGGCTCTGCACGGGGTCAAACCGTCCCTCGGGTCATTGACCTCCATCCCGCAGCCTCTCGGCTCCCCAGAGGCAGCACTTGGGTTTGTCCCGCCCGCAGGAGCGGTTACGCCGCCCCGCAGCCAGACTCCAGCTCCCTCAGAAGCCCGGGGCCGCCGTGGAGGACGGGAGCCCTGCGGGACTAACCCCCGCTCCAGCCTGCGAGCTGCGTGTTCCGCACGGCCCAGACACCTGTGCGGGCTGAAATACCGGGCAGGTGGCTCAAAGCGCTTTTCCACGTTTCTGTGCGGCCGCTGCGGGGGGGAGCAGCGGAATCCCTGCAGGGAACCAGCAACACCCAGACCTGCCCGTTCCGAAGGCGCATGGCAGGAGCGATCACCCGTCACGGGCCTCACACGGCGCCTCGGGGAGCCAGGGACGGCACCGGCGGGGCGGGGGTGTGGCGGGATATTCGTTTTGAACTCCAGCGTGACCCCAGTGACCAACCAGACCCAAGGCCCAGAGCAGCACAGAGCAACAGCTCCCAAAACGTTCTGCTTCCAGCAGTGGCCAACACCAAATCCTCGACCTCTCACGCAAAAATGAAATAAAAGGGATGTGCGATGCTTATGGACAGCAGGTGCAGTCGATATTTAATCTGGGGTTTCCTAAACTTTCTGGGTACAAACCATTTGGATTCATCTCCTTTCCTGCCACCTTCCCAGAATGTCAGCAGTGTAAGGAATTTCAAGAACAACTACTCTTTCAGCATCCTCATCTCACAAACACTGAGATTTTTTTTCCCACTTCATAAACATTATATTTCTCTTTCAATACAAAATGCGCTGAAACAATTTTAAAATTTTTCTTCCAATGCTTCACGAGTGCCTTTTGCAGCCTCTGTTCTGAAGAGGGGTGGTCTAGGCTGGCCTGCACGAGGTTCAGTCTCACCTAGCAACTCGGATATTAATTACAGCAGGTAATTAAAGCAAGAGGCTGAACGATACGCGCCGCGGGCAGAGGACACGAGGGGCAGAGACGCCGCCAGCGCCCGAGGCCCCACGACGGACACAGCCCATCGGACCAGCCCTGCCCTGCTCAGCAGGAAAAGGCAAAACCCTCCAAATCCTGCTCACAGGAGGGGGGTGTCTTCTCCACCCTCTGCTCTGGCACCAGCTGGACTCGGGGGCAGGCAGGGCACAAGGGAAAAGCATTCCCGCTGCTAGGAATTACCTGAACCTTCCAAACATCCCAAAGCACACACAAGGCAAACTCACCGCGTCGCCCCACACCACCATGGAGCCCTCAGCATCCCTGCAGCTGCAAGGCCATATTCCTGTTTTTAATCTTAAATACCGACTTAATTGTGCTTGTCTGGGGTTAAAAGTATTTGAAGGTGGGTACGTGCTCCAAGATTCTGTCCCTTAGGGAATGCCCATCACATCTGGATACACCACGTACCCATTTAAGCCTCAAGAGCCGCTGAGATTCCGGGATAAGGACATGCAGAAGCAGACACCAACAGCATTTCTGTCTAAGCCAGGGAAAGGGAATTTCAAAGATCCCGAGGGAGAGGCTCTTCCTGCAGGATGTGAGGGTCATTATCTGAAGGAACCCAGCCAAGAGGCACTGGGGCCTGAAGGCCGCAATACTGATTGAATCTAGATAAAAACCCGTAATACAGGAAACGCTGCAGGGGTTTTACTCCTCAGCAATGTACTGATTTCTGGTCATTAGCTGAAAATGACTTTTTATACAGCCCCCTTCCCAAGGGTTTCCGAAGGAATGTGCTCTACCACGGGCATTTTTATTACAGAGCACTGAAGTGAATGGGGCTAAGGGACAGGCTGGCAGACCCCGTGCTTTCTGCGTGTTTTGTGCATGTGTGTGTGTCTCCAGGCACTCGGCTGGAAAATGAAGCCTTCAGAGAGGCGACAGAAGTTAATGAAGAAAAGCCAACGGCCTCTCCCACTAACCCCGGGCTGCAGAGGGGATTGGTTTCAGCAGCCCGCAGCATCGCGGGCTCAGCACTCACCAGTTTGCTGCCTTTGGCGGCGTCCAGCGAATCTGCAAAGGAAAGCAGAAACAGAATGGTCAGCCCCGGCCCAAAGGACGCCCCTGGCCTGAGCCACTAGCCTCGAGGAGCAGCGAAGGGACCGTTTCCGTGTGTCCGCAGGGAAGCGGTGGTACGGTGGGGTGGGGGCTGGGGGAACAGGGGCTCCTTTATCAGACCCGCTGGCTCAGCCAGAGAAACCAAAAGTGCAGGCACAGGCTGCTTCTCCTGAGTTAAATTACTGCGATTCTGAGACCCCAAGGCCCCTTCGTACTCCCCCACAGCGAACCAGCTGGATTCTGATGGAAAATCACAGAACCCCAGAATCCTCACGGTTGGAAAAGCCCTCACAGCTCCTCCAGCCCCACCATGACCCTCCCTCTGACCGTTCCCAACTCCCCCAGATCCCTCAGCGCTGGCTCAGCCCGACTCTTCAACCCCTCCAGGGATCCCGGGGACTCCCCCCTGCCCTGGGCAGCCCATTCCAACGCCCAACAGCCCCTTCTGCACAGAAATCCTTCCTCAGAGCCAGCCTGACCCTGCCCTGGGCAGCTTGAGGCCATTCCCTCGGGGCCTGGCGCTGGGGCCTTGGCTCCAGAGACTCATCCCCCCTCTCTGCCCCCTCCTGGCAGGGAGTTGCCGAGGGCCAGGAGGTCTCCCCTCAGCCTCCTCTTCTCCAGACTGAAC